TATTATTCTTTATTAGATAGGATTTTGATGAGAGAGAGGAAAAGAGGAGAGAGAGAGATTGGTTTGTGGTTCCCCTTAGTTATGCATTCATTGGTTGATTCTTTTAAAAAACAATTTTACAAATATTTTTTAAAATAAATCTTTATTGTTCAGATATTACAGTTGTTCCTCTTTTTATCGCCCATAGCTCCCCTCCACCCAGTTCCCACCCCACACTCTGCCCTTACCCCTCCCCCCCACTGTCCTCATCCATAGGTGTATGATTTTTGTCCAGTCTCTTCCCGCACCCACCACACCCCTTTCCCTCTGAGGACTGTCAGTCCACTCCCTTTCTATGCTCCTGATTCTATTATATCCACCAGTTTATTCTGTTCATTAGATTTTTTATTCTCTTGAGTTTTAGATTCACTTGTTGATAGGTATTTGTTATTCATAATTTTCATCTTTACTTTTTTCTTCTTCCTCTTCTTAAAGAATACCTTTCAGCATTTCATATAACACTGGTTTGGCAGTGATGAACTTCTTTAGCTTTTTCTTGTCTGTAAAGCTCTTTATCTGACCTTCAATTCTGAATGATAGCTTTGCTGGGTAGAGTAATCTTGGTTGTAGGTTTTTGCTATTTATCACTTTGAATATTTCTTGCTACTTCAGGCTGGTCTGCATAGTTTCTGTGAGAAATCAGCTGATAATCATATGGGTGTTCCCTTGTTTTTCTAATTGTTTTTCTCTTGCTCCTGAAAATTCTCTCTTTGCCTTTTCTCTTGGCATTTTAATTATGATGTGTCTTAGTGTGGTCCTCTTTTGATTCCTTTTGTTTGGGGTTCTGTGCGCTTCCTGGACTTGTATGTCTGTTTCTTTTGCCAGGTGGGGGAAGTTTTCTGTCATTATTTCTTCAAATAGGTTTTTAAATATCTTACTCTCTCTTTTCGTCTGGCATCCAAATAATTCTGATGTTGGCATGCTTGAAGTTGTCCCAGAGGCTCCTTAAACTATCTTCATATTTTTGGATTCTTTTTTCTTTTCTGGTTGGGTGTTTTTGGCTTCTTTGTGTTTTAAATCTTTGACTTGTTTCTTGCATTCATCTAGTCTGCTGTTGGAATCTGTATATTATTTTTATATTTCAGTCAGTGTATGCTCAGTTTCTAGTTGGTCCTTTTTCATATCCTCGAGGGTTTCACTAAATTTATCTGCCTTTTTTAGAAAATTCTTGGAAACCCTTATAACCGTGGTTTTGAACTCTGTATCCTTCATTTCTTTCATTTGTGACCTGTTTCTTTGTCTCTGTATTTTGACTGCTTCCCTGTGTTGATAGAGTGGCTTTGTGTGCTAGGTGTCCTATAGAGTCCATTGGTTCAGCCTCTCCAGTTACCTGAGGTGGACACTCTTGGTGCACTCCTTTGTAGGTTTTGTGCACAGTCTTGTTGTAGTTAAGTCTTGATTATTGTTGGTATCACTGGGAGGAATTGACCTCCAGGCCAATTGGCTGTGAGGATCAGCTGTGTCGATGATGGGAGAACTTCTGTGCTGGAGACACCCTTATGGGACCAGACTTGCTTCAGTGGGGCTTTGATGCTCACTGAGTCTGCCCCCTGAGTGTGACCCTTATGGATCTGAGGAGTTGTAATCTGGATGGTCCCACTCTGACCACAGGTCCTTGGATCTCCAAGGAGGTGCTAATTTAGCCTCTGTGTGAGGCCACCCAGCAGGAACTGCAGATTCCTCTCTTTTTTTCTTTAAAAAAATATATATATATATATTTTATTGATTTTTTTATAGAGAGGAAGACAGAGGGATAGAGAGTTAGAAACATCGATGAGAGAGAATCATCAACTAGCTGCCTCTTGCACAACCCCTACTGAGGATGTGCCTGCAACCAAGGTACATGCCCTTGACGGGAATTGAACCCGGAACACTTCAGTCTGCAGGCTGACGCTCTATCCACTGAAAACTGGTTTTGGCAGATTCCTCTTCTTTGTTTGGGGTTTGGAGGTTCCCAGATGAGTCCTAGCTGTGAAGCAATGCAAGGTTTGGGAGGCTTTGGGCCTTCTTTTGGATGTTCTGGGTCTCTGACCCAGCTGCAGTTTGTTAGGTAATTGTAGATTTCAAAGGACTAGGTCATTCATATGCAAAAACCTCTGTACACAGCTTGGGTGGGGTGGGGTCTCAGAATTGAGCAAACAGCAATGGTTGACCATTGGCCCTGCCCTAAGAGGTTCCAGGGTCTCAGTGTCCTGGGTAATTGCTGCAAGCATCTCTGAGATAAAGCTAGACAGTCCAGTTTCTCCCTGTATGAGTCTGAATCCCCAGTCTTGTCTGGAACTGGAGTTCAAACAGTGGAAAGCTTGTGTCTCCCTCCAGATTGAAAAAAACAGCTGTGTACTCAATTGCCAGCCCTTTCCATGTGTGCTTGAGACTCCTTACCTCTGCACTTTACTTCTGTACCTCCTCTGAGTCTCAGTGTGCTTTTCTCTTTCCTTCTAGTAGTAGAATTTCCACTCAGCCAGCTTTCCTCTTGTTCTGGATGATGTCCATTTTGTCTTTTAGTTGTAGTTTTGAAGTGGTTGTGTGAGGTAGCAATTTCAGGTGTTTACCTATTCTGCCATCTTGCTTTCTCCTGGTTGATTCTTGTATATGCCTTGCCAGGGATTAGACCTGCAAATTGGCATATCAGAACAATGCTCTAACCAATTGAGCTACCCAATCAGGGCTGCTCTTTTTCTAGCTCTTTCAGATTTAGGGTTAGAGTATTTGAGTTTTTCTTTTTCTTGATGTAGGCCTGTAATGCTATGGACTTCCCTCTCAGGATTGCTTTCATATATGTTGGGTTGTTGTGTGTTCATTTTCACTTGTTTGCAGGTAACTTCTGATTTCTTCCTTTATCTAATTGTGAACCCATTCATTGTTTAATAACATGTTTAGCCTTCATGTGTTTGAATGTTTTTATTTTTTTATTGAAGTTGGTTTCTAGTTTCATACTATTGTGGTCAGAAAAGATGCTTGATATAATTTCAATTTTCTTTAATTTATTAACTTATTTTGTGTCCTAACATGGACTCTATCTTTAAGAATGTTCCATGTGCACTTGAAAAGAATGTATATTCTGCTGCTTTAGGAGGAAATGTTCTGTAAATATAAATTAAATTCATCTGATCAGTGTGTTATTTAAGATTGCTGTTTCTTTGTTGATTTTTTGTCTAGAACAGTGGTCGGCAAACTGCGGCTTGCAAGCCACATGTGGCTCTTTGGCCCCTTGAGTGTGGCTTTTCCACAAAATACCACAAGCGGAGCTCACGTACAGTGTGATTGAAGTTGTTTTTCGGCTCTCAAAAGAAATTTCAATCCTTGTACTGTTGATATTTGGCTCTGTTGACTAATGAGTTTGCTGAGCACTGGTCTAGAAGATCTATTCATTGATATTAGTGGGATGCTAAAATCCCCTAGAATGATTGTATTGCTATTGTTCTCTGCCTTAATGTCAACCAAGATTTTATTTATATATTTAGGTGCTCCTATGTTGGGTTAATATATGGGTTTTTTGTTTGTTTGTTTGTTTTTTGGTTCACATGTTTCCAAAGGCATATACTCTTCTTGGATCTATACTTTTAATATTATGTAGTGATCTTCTTTGACTCTTGTTATGAAGTCTATTTTTAAAAATATATATATTTTATTGATATTTTACAGAGGAAGGAGAGGGATAGAGAGTTAGAAACATCAATGAGAATCATCAACCAGCTGCATGACAGTCAATTAGCTTATTCCCTCTTCATTAGATAGGATTTTTCAAAGTCCATCTGTGTGCAGAAGCAAAATTTTGAGTGTTGGCTCAAAGAGTTGATTTCCCCCCCAAGGGGTATCTCAGGAATTGATGCCTGAATGTAGTGCCAGGGTATATGGTCTGTGGTTTTTATAGAAAATACAATTGTTGGCACAGGTATCAGGAGGAGCATCCCAAAAGTAAAGGTAAAGTAACACTATATAGCTGAATTTTCTCTTGGATCTGGGGCCTTAAAGCTTCTACATATATTTGGTATTCCTTTTCTCTTTGAGCCAGACCAGTGGGTAGAGCGTGGGCTAGGGCTCTTTCTTAATTGTTGGTGACCTCCACCCACTGACAGTCTGTGTGTGGAACATTAGTTTCTGGGCACTGAAACCATCTTCCTGTCCAAACAAACTGACAACCATAAATTTGATCTTGTGGGGCATTCTGTGCACTGGGTGGTCAGGATGGAAGTGTGCTGACCTCATCAGCTTCAGGACCCCAGAGTCCTCCGCCCACCTTGCCTTCAGTGAAGCTCAGGTAGCGCTGCCTCTGCCTGCAGGCCGCACTCCTGACAACTAGACCAGGCCCAGCCCAGCCTCTAGACCACTTGCCTTCAATTTTAAATGATAGTTTTGCTGGATAGAATAGCCTTGGTTGTAGTTCCTTGCTTTTCATCACTTTGAACATTTTATGCCAATGCCTTCTGGTCTCAAGTGTTCCTGTTGAGAAATCAGCTGATAGCCTGATGGTAGCTTCTTTGTAGTTACTAACTGCTTTTTTCTTTTTACTTATTTAAAAATACATTTTTATTTATTTCAGAGAGGAAGGGAGAGGGAGAGAGAGGTAGAAATATCAATGAGGAGAGAGGGGCCTCTTGCATGCCCCCTACTGGGGACCAAGCCTACAATCCTGGCATGTGCCCTTGATTGGAATTGAACCAAATCCTTCAGTCCACAGGTGAATGCTCTATCCACTGAGCCAAACCATCAGGGGTCTCTAGCTACTTTTAAGATGCTCTCTTTATCTTTAATTTTTGACATTTTTATTATGTGTCTTAGTGTGGGCCTCTTTGGATTATCTTTCTTTTTTAAAAAAATCCACAGTAAAGCTAGAATTAGTAGAGCTTTGATTCAACAGCTTTATAATCACTGTCACTGACATTCTAGGAAGAAAGTTGACAAAGGCTTATTGTCAAACTGAAAATTTATTAATATATTCCCCTTTCTTATTCTTATAGGAAATCAGTTCACAGCTGAATGACATATTGCAAAATGTGCAGCGGATAATTCATCGCTACACTTTTGATGAGTCCATACAGTTTGGAAAGAAAATCCCTTTTTTAGAATATAAGCAACGGAGACTAAACGTGCTGGAGAAAATGGATTATTGTGCTAATTCTGCTGACATTAAAGGAAAGACTCTTATGTACATCCTGGCATGGTTGCAAGAATGGCGTAAGTTTTCTTTTTAAAAAAAAAATATATCTTATTCACTTTTGACAAAGAGGAAGAAAGAAGGATAGAGAGCCAGAAGCATCGATGAGAGAGAAACATCGATCAGCCGCCCCTGCACACACCCCACTGGGGATGTGCCCGCAACCCAGGCACATGCCCCTGACTGGAATCGAACCTGGGACCCTTCAGTCCGCAGGCCGACCCTCTATCCAACCGGTTTCGGCTGGAGTAAGTTTTCAAAAGTGGTTTAAAGGAAAACTACAAAGTTGATGAAAAAGCTAGAGAGCAGGATCTATAAGAAAATTTTGAAGGATTAAAAGTAGACTAAAGAAGAAAGGATTAAGGATCTGTCCTCTATTTCAGTAAAAAAAAAAAAAAAAATATATATATATATATATATATATATATACACACACACACACACACACACACACACACACACACATATATATATATATATATATATATGGCTAAGCGACCGAAAACCATCCAACAATCTGACTGGCCAGTAGCTATGATGCACACTGACCACCAAGGGGCAGATGCTCAATGCAGGAGCTGTAAAGCTGCAGTCACTTGGTAGTGGCGGTTCTTGGGTAAGGCACCCCAGAACCAGAGAGGAGGAAGTCCAATTCCTTGCAATTCCTTTTGCACTCCGGGTCCCCTTGGGGTATGTCAGAGAGCCAGTTTCTGCCCAATCCCCGCAGGCTAGGCCAAGGGACCACACCTGCCAGAGGCACCCCGCTCACTCTTGCAGATGCCCTTTGAGCTGCGGAGCTGGGCCAGGTGTGGCTAGTTGGAGAGGGGCCATGAGAGGTTGGCTCCAGGGCATGTCTGGCCTGTCTCACCCAGTCCTGCCCCACCAGCCACTACCCAGGACTGCCTGCATTAGTCCCTGCACCAGAGGGACTAATTAATTTCAATATGCATGAATCCATGCACTGGGACACTAGTCAAATAATAAAAATATAGGCTTGCTCACCTAGTGCCAATAATTCTGGCTTCTTTCTTTGTTTTGCTTCAGGCATGCCAGCATGCTCCTGCCCAGTGTCTTTATGTTTACTATTCCCTTGCCTAAACATTTTTTACTCGGTAGACACATGGCTCATTCTCTGCCTATATCTTACTTTAAAATGAGATGTTCTCTTTCTTCTGAACCAGGGGCTAATGGTGTGACACGCTGTAATTGCCTGGCAGAGAGTCATCATTTTGGTCCAATGATGGGAAGTCAGCTCAGTTGGCAGGCAGTGTGGTGGTGAGGAGCATCCAAATAAAAGAGAATTATTTTCTAATACTATTTAATTTGGTTTAGCTCAGTGGAAAGACATACACCTGTGGACTAGAAGGTCCCAGATTCAATTCTGGTCAAGGGCACATTCCCGAGTTGTGGGCTAGATCCCCAGTAGGGGGCCTGCAGGAGGCAGTCGATCAATGATTCTCTCTCATCATTGATGTTTCTCTCTTCTTTTCTCTCTCCCTCTCCCTTCCTCTCTGAAATCAATAAAAATACTTTTTATAAATTTTTACTATCTCTTTCCTATCGTGACATTTTTCTTATTCATAAAATAAATTATAATGAATTATACCTAAAAATCTTTACTTAAATCTAGAGTCTACTTTGCAGCCTTTATCTGTATTCATATACACTGAGTGGTCAGATTATTATGATCTCTGAATGAATAATAAATTTGGCCACTCAGTGTATATCCTATATAATAAAAGGCTAATATGTGAGGCCTGTGTCCCACTTGGGGGAAGCCAAGTGTTGCTTTAAAAAAATAAAATAAAATAAAATAAAATAAATAAAATAAAATAAAAGGCTAATATGCAAATTGTTCCCTCAACCAGGAGTTTAACTAGCAGGCAGGCTGGTCAACTGCCTATGTTCCCTCCCCCTGGGCAGGCTAGCTAGACCACACCCATGCACGAATTCATGCACCAGGTCTCCAATATATATATCTCCTATCTAATAAAAGATAATATGAAAATTGACCATCACTCCAACACATAAGATGGCTGCCCCCATGTGGACACAAAATGGCCAGCAGGGGAGGGCAATTGGAAGGGACCAGGCCTGCAAGGAAGGGAAGTTGGGGGTTATCAAGTCTGCAGGGGAGGGCAGTTAGGGATGACCAGGCCAGCAGAGGAAGGAAGTTGAGGGCAACTTGGCTTGCAGGGAAGTGCAGTTGGAGGGGACTCAGGCCTGCAGGGGAGAGCAGTTGGGGGGACCAGGCCTACAGGGGAGGGCAGTTAAGAGTGACCAGGCCTGCAGGGGAAGGCAGTTAGGGGCAATCAGGCTGGCAGGAGAGCAATTAGGCACCAATCAAACTGGCAGGGGAGTAGTTAGGGGGTGATCAGGCTGGCAGGCAGAAGTGGTTAGGGGCAATCAGGCAGGCAGGCAAGTGAGTGTTTGGGAGTCAGCAGTCCTGGACTGTGAGTGGGATGTCTGACTGCCCGCAGTTGGACATCCCTCGAGGGGTCCCAGATTGGAGAGGGGGTGTAAACTGGGCTGAGGGACACCCCGCCCCCTTGCACAAATTTCATGCACTGGGCCTGCTGTGTGTGTGTGTGGGTGGGGGGCGCTGTTGTTTGTGTGTGTGTGTGTGTGTGTGTGTGTGTGTGTGTGCTTTCAGAGATCATAATAATCTGGCCACTCAGTGTATATACCCAGTGTTAAACATAGTTATTTTTAGGCATTTGAACTTTGCTTTACTTTAATAGAAAATAATACTGCTATTAAACATCTTTGAAAATGGAAAATAAAATAAAATTAGGTGTTCTCTGACCATTCCCATTCTCTATCCCTTGTCCATTTCTCTTTACTCTTCTTTATTTTTGTCTAAACCATTTCTTACCCTCTGACATACTATATAATTAATGTTTTATTTATTTTTAAAACATTTTTTATCTGTCTCCTTTCATTAGAATATAAGTACTATGAAGTCAGGGAATTGGTTTTATTCAATGTTTTATCCATAAAGTTTAGAAGAGAACATGACAGAGGACATGTTGATTGAATGAAAGAATGAATAAACTACAATACACAAAAGAAGAATTTAATCTGGTTGCAAGAAATCTCTTGTAACAGGGGTTATAAAAGAGTAGATTAACTTGCCAAAGGAGTTAATTGGGGCTTAGATCCACAATATTAAAATACATGTTCACATTTTAGATACCTACTTCTCTGGAGTCTAAATCAGTGTTTCCCAAACTTTTGACATATGTGTACCCCTTCTATAATTTTCATAACGCTGAGTACCCCTCATACTCATGAGAACGTAGAATTAGGCGCAGCTAAGCACAGTGCAGTGTACAATATATCCCCACCAAACTCTGGTGCAACGCGTACCCCCACCAAACTCTTCCCGTACCCCTGGGGGTACGCGTACTACACTTTGGGAAACCCTGGAATAGATATCTTTTAACATGATTCATATTTTTATGTCGACTTACTGTTTAAGCCTCTATTCTAAGTCTCTTCCTTTTTCATTTCCTCATAAGAAAAAGGTCTCAGAATAGCAATAAGTATGAGATACCTATATTCCAAAATACTACAACATTGAATAGTTAATATTATAAGCCCATAGGGTTACAATTATTCATTTTTCTAAACAAAAGTAATTTTCTTACTCTCTTTAAGACGTCATTTTGTCTGATATGACTGCAACTGATGTTGATGACCACCACTACGTATCACAAATGAAGATTTTACCAGAAACGTTCAAATCTATTGAGGGCAATGTCAAGAGGTTGAGTGTAATGAGTACCTCTTTGCTTGAAGAGAAGAAGAAAAAGTTGGGAAAAAGAAGTAAGGATGGCTTAAGACATTGGAAATGGATTTTACTTGTTCTAAAATTCAACTTTATTGAGGTATAATACAGACCATAAAATTCACCCATTTGCCCTGGGCAGGTGGCTAAATTTGTTGGAGTGTCATTCTATACCCCAAAAGATTGCCAGATTGATTCCTGGTCAGGGCACATACCTAGGTTGTGGAATTCATCCAAGGGCACATATGGGAGGCAATAAATAAATGTTTCTCTCTCACATCAATATTTCTCTTTCCCCCTTTCTCTCACTCTAAAAACAATAAAAATACATCCTTAGGTGAGGATTTTTTTAAATTCACCCATTTAAAGTGTACAATTCAATGACTTTTAGTAAATTTAGACTTGTGCAACCATTACCACAATCAAATTTCATTAAAAAATTTTTTAAATTAATTTCAGGGAGATAAGGGGAGGGAGAGAGAGACAGAAACATCAATGATGAGAGAGAATCATTGATTGGCTGCCTCCTGCATGCCCCACACTGGGAACCATGCCCGCAATCCGGGTATGTGCCCCAACTGAGAAATCAAACCATGAAATCCTGCTTTATAGGTAGATGCTTCAACCACTGAGTCACGCCAGTTGGGCCCCACAGTCCAATTTTAGAACATTTTCATCATCCCAGAAAGATTCCTCATTCCCATTTGCAGTCAATATTAATTTCCAACCCTAGCCCTAGACAATCACTATTCTGTTTTCTGTCTCAATTGCTTTAGTCTTTTCTGGATATTTCATAAAACGGAATTATATTTTATGCGGTCTTTTTTTTCTTTCTTCATTTTACATAATGCTTTTTAGGATCAATCATGTTATAGGATGTATCAGTTGTTTCTTTCTTCCTATTGCCAATTGCACGTTACTGTTTGTATATTCCACACTTTGTTTACCCATTCACCATTTCATAGACATTTAGATTGTTTCCAATTTTTGGCTGTTATGAATAATGCTGCTGTGAACACACATACATAAGTTTTTAGGTAGACATGTGTTTTCATTTCTTTTGAATAGATACCTAGGGATAAAATTGATAGGTCATTTATCTATTGTGGGTAAACTTATGGTTAACTTTTTAAGAAATTATTAATCGATTTCCCAAGTGATAGTTCCATTTTACATTCCCATCAGCAATGTATTTGGGTTATAGTTTCTCAACATCCTCAACAACACTTGTTAGAGTCTATCTTTTTTATTATAGCATGTCTAATAGGTGTAAAATGATAACTCATTGTGCTTTTAATTTTCATTTTTTAATGACCCGTTCGTGTGTTTATTAGCCATTACAGCATCTTCTCTAATGAAACATCTATTTAAACACTCATTTATAGCTCTAACTAAGTGGGTAGAGCATCAGTCTGTGGACTGAAGTGTCCCAGGTTCCATTCTGGTCAAGAGCATGTATCTTGGTTGCAGGCAGCTGATTGATTTTTCTCTCTCATCAGTGTTTTTAACTCTCTATCCTTCTCCCTTCCTCTCTGTAAAAAAATCAATAAAATATATTTTAAAAAGTAAATACTCATTTCTACTATTGAGTTTTAAGAGTTCTTTATAGTGCTCACGCTGGCAAGACATATACTTACTAAAATTGGAATAACACAGAGAAGATTAGCATGGCCCCTATGCAGTATGACATGTATATTTGTGAAGCATTCTATTTTTTAAAGAGTTCTTTATATACTCTGGATAAAGTAATTTGCAAATATTTCCTCCCAGTCTGTGGCTTGTCTTTCCATATCCTTTTTTAATTAATTAATTAGTTAATTAATTAATTTTAAATCACAGCTGAGGATATTTTGAGGATTTTCAGAGAGAGTGGAAGAGATAGACGAAGACAGAGAGAAAAATCGATATAAGAGAAACACATAGATTGGTTGCCTCCTGCACACGCCCTGACCAGGGCCGGGGGAGTGGGGAGGAGCCTGCAGCCAAGGCATGTGTCCTTGATCTGAATGGAACAGGTACATTTCGGTTTGCAATCTGAGGCTCTGTCCACTGAGCCAAACTGATTTGGGCTCTTTTCATTTTCTTAATGGTATCTTTGAAACCCACAAGTGTTTACTTTTTATAAAGTCCAATCAATTTATTTTTTCCTTCAATAGAAGTTTTATCATAGTTTTAGTGTTGTATTATGACCTTAGGTAATTCCAAGAGGGCTGCAGAGTAGCTGGAAGTTCCATTCATTTGCTCCAAGCCCCGGAATGGACTTGCAGTTAAACTGCAGAGCAATCAACGAGAAAAACCAGTGGAAGTGTAGCTGATCCGAAACTATACTAGTAAACAGTAGCACAGAGGAAGACAGGAGGAGACACAGAAAGTGTGAGCCTCCTCGCGCAGGTGCGGTGGCTGGGAAGCCAGAGGGATATTGTGGCAGCAGAGCTCCCTCTCACTGGGGGCATGGAGGGATCCCCAATCCAGGACAACAGACAGGAAGGGAAGCCTGCGAAGCATCAGATGGTCGTAATGAGTGGGTATTTGGTCCACCTGGGAGACTTGGACCACACCATGCCAGGGGAAAAAAGCAATCATATTGTTTCAATACCAGCCAGGGAAGTTGGCTTCGGTCTAAGACTGTTGGAGGGGGCCATGAAACAGTGCTTGTCCGGCGGAGGGATCTGCTTGGTACACCCAACAGGAACTTGGAAGGGCCCTCTGTTCTCTGTAGGAACTTTGGGCAGAGAGCAGGGCCGAGACTAGACTGCGTGGTTTGGGAAAGAGAGTCAGTCTTGCCCACCTGAGTGCACGGGTGGCGCCCCTCCAGATACCTGCGGAGCTGCTCACAGTCTGGCCCATCTTGCTGTGTTCTGAAGTAAAAAGCTGAAAAACTGGGCCTGTCCTGCTTGATTTGATGGCGAGGAGGGAGTTGGTCATTTGGCCCATGTGCAAGCCTGGTGGAGCTGGGAATTTTGGCTTAGCCCTGCAAGGGTTGGCAGCACAGAGCGATTGGAGTGGCAAGTGAGACCGGTTTTTTTTTTATCCCTTTCTGCTTGATTAGATGGAGCAGGAGTGCTAGGGACCTATAAAGAGCTGTTTTATTGTTGTTGTTGTTTTGTCTGTTTTGTTTTGAGACTGTGTCTCGCAAGTGGGCTTCTGTCTGGAAGTCAGAAGGTCATGTGCTGGGATCTACAGCTGCATTAGGGGAAGCAGATCCAAGCTACCCAGTTAGTTCAGCATGTACAGCTCTGGGAAGGAGAGGAAGTGCCCTTCCCCCATTCTACAGATTGCAAGCACTATCCCCAACAGGAAAAGGATTGACTCACTCCTGCCAGGTCCCATTTATGTACTTCTGCTGAGTGCAGTTCTATGGGGGAAGGGAGAGCACTGGGCAAGACCTGAGACTGATCCAACCACTGAGCTCCATCCAGGTGCCACACCAACTGGACTACTAGGAACTCTTCCCTGCCAAGCTTTGGACAGGCTGCTAAGGACCAGGCGGAGACAGCATCTGACACTGGGAATGCCCAGGACCAGCACACCGAGGCCAGCTTTAGACAACTCCAGAGCAGGATCCACCAAGCTTCACAGACAGCATATCTGAAGGGTGTTTGCAGCCGGCACAAAGCTGCTGAAGCAAAACCACTTTTTTCTTTTTAAACTTTTTCTATTTCATTCTCTTTTTTTCCTTTCATATGTTTTACTTCTCTCTCACCTTTTCTCTCTTTTAAAAAAAAATATACTTCTTTATTGATTTCAGAGAAAAAGGGAGAGGGAGAGAAGCTAGAAGCATCAATAATGAGAGAGAATCATTGATCGGCTGCCTCCTGCATGCCCCCTTCTGGAGATCAAGCCAGCAACCCAGGCATGTGCCTTTGGCCGGAATCTTACCTGGGAGCTCTCAGTCTCCAGGATGATGCTCCATCCACTGAGCCAAACTGGCTAGGGCTCTCACCTCTTCTTGTTTTATCTTTTCTTTTCCTTTTTGTTAATTTCCATTTTTCTTTCCTAATCTTTATTTTATTTATATATACATTATATATATATATATATATATATATATATATATATATATTTAATTTTAATGTTTTCTTTTCCTCTTTTATATTTTCTCTTTTGTTTCTCTTTTCTTCTCTATTTTTTTTTGTCTCTTGTCTTTGATTATTCCTTTTCTGTTTTGTCTCTTTTCCTATTCTTTTATTTTTGTTGCTTAGTTTTATTTTGTGTTGTTTTTTGTTTTGCTTTGTTTTGTTCTGTTAGCACCTGTATAATACAATAATTTGTATAATGTGATCAGGGTTGAGTCTCATAGTCAGCCTGATTGAGGGTCAAGTCCACCCACAAATGGGACATCAATCAAGACTAAACAACAACAAAGGACCTATATAACCCACATAAGGTACACTCCTATAGCATCCAGATCAGAAGAACAAAGAGACTGGATCACTGGGTCCCACAAAACACCTACTACAGAAGGTCTCCCAATCAAGACTGGGAGTCATACCAGTTCAATTAAATACGTAGAAACAAAATCAAAGAGATAGCCAAAATAGGGAAACAAAGAAACCAGGCCCAAATGAAAGAACAGGAAGAATCTTCAGAAAAAGAGCTAAATGAAATGGAGGCAAGCAATTTATCAGAAATCAAATTCAAAGTAATAGTTATAAGGATGCTCAACTGCATGAAAATACATAGAAATCATGAAAAAGTAACTGGTCAGAAATGAAGAATAACATATCTTAAATAAAGAATAGACTAAAAGAATAAACAGTAGCAGAAGATTGAATCAGTGAATTAGAAGACTAGTTAGAAATCAATCAAAGCAGCAAAAATCAGCTGACAGCCTTCTGGGAATTTTCTTGTAGATAACTTTCCTCTTGCTGCCTTTAATTTTTTTTTTAAATATATTTTATTGATTTTGTACAGAGAGGAAGGGAGAGAGATAGAGAGTTAGAAACATCGATGAGAGAGAGTCATCGATCAGTTGCCTCTTGCACACCCCCTACTGGGGATATGCCTGCAACCAAGGTACATGCCCTTGACCGGAATC